AGCTGTGGCTGCTCCTCCCTGGAAGTGTTGAAGGCCAGGCTGGATGAGGCTTTGAGCAACCTGGTCTAGTGGAAGGTGTCCCTGCTGCTGGCAGCGGGGTTGGGACTGGATGAGCTTTGAGGTCCCTTCCAACCCAAACTGTTCGCGGTACTTTGGGATAGCTGTTGGTATCTTCATCTTTATTAGAGGTTCGGGTTTTGAATTGTGTCTGTGATGTTATTGAAGCCACTCAGACCTCTCACCTTCTTGGCAGGCTCTTTCTGAACAGCGTGCTCTCTGCCATCCTGGGCCTCGGGCTCCTGCTGCTCGTCGCTTGCTACGTCTTTGTGGAGTTCTTCGTTGACCCCATGATGCTTCGCTCTGACCAGCACTTTGATGGTACTCGCAGTGCTTCCCTTGAGCATCCTGTGAATCAGACAGAGTAACTTGATACGGGATTGGATTCGGGGGCTCTCCCACTGAGGAGGAACTTCATTCCTTTCTCCTTCAATTTTATATTTTGGCAAGAGTATCTCTGCTGAGCTGGTGGGAATGTCTTTCCTTCCAGAGCTCACTGCTCTTCCTGAAGGCCTTGCAGACACAAGTTTTCTTAGACCTCCAGTGCATAATGGGTCTGCAGCTACTTTTGAATTAACAATCTTTCCAGCTGTAAAGTTTAGTTAGAGATATTTAATACCTGGACAATCCGCTTACCTCCAACTCTTTTTGTTTTACAGCTCTGAAGAACCACACAGACCGCTGGTTTGTGTTTCTTCCTGCAGCTCCTGTTGAGACTCAGGCACCTGCCATTCTGGTCACAACTGGGATTTTCATTCTTCTGAGCCTAGTGACCGTCATCCTGCTAGGCCACCTCTTGACTTTTCACATCTATCTCTGTAGGTATTATGTTCCTGTCACCCATTTCATCTTCGCTTGGCTTCTTCTACTCATTCTGCATTTACTGTGTGTTCACTCGTGTTACAAATGTGCACACATTGTGCAAGATTGCCATCTCCCTGTCCAGAGAGACCTCATCGTGGCCTTCCAGGACTTGAAGGGAGCTTAGAAACTGGAGGGAGAAGGACTGTTTACATGGGCAGATAGTGACAGGTCAAGGGGAAGAGGTTTTAAACTGAGAGAGGGGAGATTTAGGTGCGATATTAGGAGGAAATTTTTCACCCAGAGGGTGGTGAGACACTGGCCCAGGTTGCCCAGAGAAGCTGTGGATTGCCCCATCCCTGGAGGCATTCAAGGCCAGGTTGGATGGGGCCCTGGGCAGCCTGATCTAGTGGTTGGCAACCCTGTCCACAGCAGAGGGGGAGGAACTGGATGATCTTTAAGGTCCTTTCCAGCCCAAACCATTCTGTGATTCTGTGAAAAGGAAGAAAATTTGTGTTTAACATTATCCTTCTGATTTTCCCCCAGTACCAGGTCAGCTTACCAATGCGTGTGCAGTATGAGTCAGGCCAGTGCATTCACGTGTCTAAGCTGTTATCCTGGAACTGAGAGCACGTGGCAGAGCAGTAGAGAGGCCAGGTGGGGTGAACTGGTTAATTCCAGCTCCGTGCCAGCAATGGCAGATTCAGGTTGGCTCCACATACGGGATTTTGTGAGTCTCTTCACTGTGCTCCCCAGTACTTCTGTTGTGTGAAAGAGCCTGTTTCTCCATTACCCTGGAGAAATGTGGATGATATTGATCTAAATTGAGTGAAAAATAGGAGGCCTGACGTCCAGGTCAAGGTCCCTTTGTGGAAGTTGTATTGTATCAACACAAAAAGACTTGTGGAATTCAGAGGAAGGGGTTTTCTCATTCCATCTCCTACCTGTTCCTCTCTCAAGGAGGGATATTTATGTTTATGTACAAGTGGGCATCAAAACCCTTTTTTCAGCCATTGTCTGAAAGGAAGCGAATGCTATTTGGCTGCCTGCTGTTAGTCATGGTGAGAAAAGATCTTACGCTTGCAGTAGCTGGTGGTGCCAGGGAAGGAGGGATGTGGAGGAAGACAAAGGAGGACGGTGGTTACAGAGGGTCCTTGGATGGATTTTTTAGGTTGTCATTCAACAGAGATGCAGATGCCAACACAAACTAGGTCAGCACAAACCAGTGCAGCTCCAGAAGCAAAAGAGTTACACTGCTGAAGGGTAGGGTTTGGTGGGTGAGTGCTCCTCAGCTGGCGTTACAGCGTTACAGTCTGTGAGGCCATGGACCGTCGTTTCCCTTTTCCAGCCTCTTTGAGCTTGGCTTAAATTTGGTCACGCCGTGATTTCGTTGACTTTTCTGGGTTAGCGGTGACACCTGGAGATTTCAAAGGTCGATCTAGTACTGTAGAAAGACTGAAAACATAACAAAGCTGGGGCTGCTCCATGAAGATTTCTTTTGTATGAAACAGAAAGGATTATTGGGTTAGTACTGGGCAGTACAGTTATCCCGTCTTGGTGTACAGCTCCCACAAGAGGGTGCTCCCTCCTTGGGCTGAAGCCACGCTGGTGGGTGTGTTACACCACTTCTGCTCTGCATTTCGGGGTTTTTTTTATTGCTGTTATTGTTGCTGTTGTCTTGGGGTGATTTTTTTCCTCTTTCAGCATAAATTTTGAGTCTAATTAACTTTTCTTTTTGGCCCAGTTTTAAATCTTTATGACTTTCATGGTATCAGCAGTTAATTATTGTTAATTTTTCCTAACATCTTGTTGCATTATAATCTGCTACCCCATTGAAACTGGTTCCAGCTGTGCAGAAGTGCGATGTGTAAGTCCTTGCTTAAAAAAGAGATGTCACCATATTGGAGCCTATATGGTGTGTCACATCTGAGTGTGCATTGCACCTACAACTGGGATCCAGGGACACAGGAAAAGTGCGTCTGGTTTAAATTCCTCTTATTTCACACCTGTAATTGTCAATAGTCTCATTGGTAAGCAGTGTTGGAATGAATTGTCTGACCTCTTTGGGGTCTAGAAATACAGTTTACCAATTAAAACATAATTAACGTTCATGTGTATTTCTTCATAAAACCTTTTTTTTTAATAAATAATTAAATTACGGAAAGAAAATAGCACCCCTGTGAGTGGTATTGCCTTTAAGTTTCACATAAAAAAACCCCTGGCTTAAGTCAGGTATGACTATGAAAATTTTAGAATTTAGTTTTGTTACCAACACAGTGAAATTTTCAAAATTACTGTTCTGATGTTAATTACTCACTGCTCTCACTCACAAGGAAGGAAGCAGATTATTCTCAAAATAGTAGGTCCATGTATTCAAAATGACGAGTCGTGATTGAGACTCAGTTCTAGAGGCACTCAGTGAAGCGTGGCACTTCAGAAGTTTGGAGGGAGGATATTTTTTTTTTCTTCAATACTGAAAGGACAATAGTAAGCAGAATAAAAAGAAAAAAAAATAGTAAGGAATATAGAAAAGGATATGGGGCTCTTCCCAGTCTGTGATTATATACTGCACAGTATGTGCTGCAGTGTCTTCTGGCCTGACAAATGCAGTATTTTTTAACTAAATAGTTCTGTTAAAATATTTTAAAAGTTACACTGTTAAGTATTCAGAAATCAAGGAACTCTGAACCAAAAATGGTTTCTAGCCCTTTGCTTATGAAGCAATATTCTGTTTCTCAAATAAAGCAGACGGTACCATTCTAGGAGCGTTTGCCAGCGCCCTGCGCTGACCTCGTTAAGTGGACTCACTAATCACTTGGCTGCAGACTCATGGTGATTTTTATACTCTGTCTTCCTGGCTAAATGGATCTTGAATTCTTATTTCTTCATAAGGTCATTGCTTTAACAGAGGGGCACCTTCTCCTCTGCTCTCCCCCACTTCCCTGTGAAGTACTCCTGTGTTTAGGGTGTGGATACAAATGTCTTCAGGCAGAGGAAGGATTTTAGCCTGGATGTCCCATAGATGAGACATCTGCTTTAACTACTATGCTTCTGTAAAAAGGAAGAATGCCTTCCAGGCTGTGCACTAAAAACCTGCAGCATCCATTTCTGGATTTTCTTCTCTAAAAATATGAACCATAACAGGGTCATTATGGGAGAAATGTCTGAGTTTTGGATCCTCGTAACATTTTGGGTCTCATGAAGAAACCAAGCTGCTCAGAAATGTCATATGCTTTTGGTGGCTCATGGAAGCAGATGTGTTTGTGTGGGACAGCCTTTATGAGCACATAAATTCAGGCACTTAGAAACTCTGAACACATCTACTTGGCACCAGACAGGTTGGGCATTTAATGCTCACTGGTTTGGACATTAAGTGTCTCTATCTGACCAGGGCAGTTCTCTTCTCCCTGTCCTGGGCACTGGTTAGGCTGCAGCTTGAGTGCTGGGTTCAGTGTTGGGCCCCTGACTCCAAGAAGGACATGGAGGTGCTGGAGCGTGTCCAGAGAAGGGAACGGAGCTGGGGAAGGGTCTGGAGCACAAGTGTGCTGAGTTCCTGGCTGAGGGAACTGGGGGTGTTGAGCCTGGAGAAAAGGAGGCTGAGGGGAGACCTTGGGGCTCTGTCCAAGTCCCTTGGAGTAGGGGGGAGAGAGGTGGGGGGGGGTCTGTTCAACCAAGGACCAAGGGACAGGCCAAGAGGAAATGGGCTCCAGTTGTGGCCAGGGCCGTTGAGATGGAATGTGAGGAAGAATTTCTTTGCTGAAAGGGTTCTGAGGCATTGGAAGGGGTTGCCCAGGGCCGTGGTGGAGTCCCCATCCCCGGAGGGATTGAAGAGTGGTGTAGACACAGTGCTGAGGGACATGGGTTAGTCGGGGACTTGTCAGGGTTGGGTTCATGGTTGGACTCGAGGATCTTCAAGGGCTTTTCCAATCCAGGCCATTCTGTCTGATTCTGTGAATCTCCTCTAGAGCACACACTAATGTGCTGGATTTCTTTTCTCCATTTAGCATCACACACCTTCTGACTGCTTGCTGAGCTTCCTGTATGATCCAGATCTTGCCCTAATTGGGCATGAATAATGAATTTGCCCTGAAATGAGCTGAACAGATTCCTCCAGTATAGAGGGCTGTATATGAGGCTTTAGAAGAACAATGGGACTATGAGAAAGTGTGATGCTGACAGTGAAGGATATAATAAGATAGAGAGTGCAAAGGTCCTTTTGGCTTAGAGCATCAGTCTTTTCATGGTGATAGTTACTGTTTGACTGTGTAGTTACTGGAACTGTTTGTTTAAGTGTAATCCGGGAGCGGCCTTTCCTGCACTGACAGCTTTTTCTTTCCTCCCAGCGTGGAACAAGTTGACTACGTACGAGTACATTGTGCAGCAGCGTCCCCAGCAAGAGGTGAAAGAGGTAGACAAGCAGCTGGAATCTTGTCCCTCCCAGGTGAGACCCAGTCAGGTACTCGTTGTATTTTCAGTCCATTTCTCAAAAACAGCCTCGCTTGTCCACGGTGTAAAATTAGCTTCACTTTTACGAGCTCCAAATTTTAGAGGCGGTTACTAAAGATAAGACTTTAGAGGTACTTTGGTGGAGTTGAGTAGGATGTGAGAGGCCTGTAATTCGATGAACACTTCAGGCATAAGCAAGTCCTGCTTTCAAAGGAATCAATCCCACCCTGTCTTCCTCCACCACTGTTTTGGGCCCTACACTATCTGTTCTCTGCTGCCAGTGCAGCTGGTTGTTACAGTCATACCCTGAACGGGGTGGGGGAACTCAGCTGGGTAAGGATAAACTTTATTAAAAAAATAGTTGAGGTTGTGTTTAGCTGGCCCAGCTCCCTGCCATTTGGTTCACCAAGCAGTCACATAAATGCCTGTGTCAGCACCAGCGAAGGTGAGTGAGGAGCGGGAAGGGTCCTGTCACTGCAAAGGACAGGCCCATCTGTTTCGGTGGCAGTGCACGTCTCGCTGGCGGGGTCACAGCTCACGACTGAAAGTGAGACAGGCTCTAAGGCTGGAGAAACCGGGGCTAATAATACCAAGGAGTGTGACCATCTTGAAAAGGAAAAGGACACCAGTGGTGTTCAGAAATGACTCAGATATCTGTTTTTCTTTGAATTGAGTCTAGATGGTGATTTGGGGCCTCATCACTGCCGTGGCATTGAGCTGCATCTCTGTAAAAAGAGTTCCACAAGCTCTGTAATGCCGTTGCACTCTGCAGTGGGGTATATATTCCACTATGAATTGAGAGTTTCGGTGTGATTTATTTTTCTGCAAAGCAGCTCTATCCCTGGGGTTACTCAAAATTTGACTGGACAAATTCTGTACTGGCTGTAACAAGGGGGTGGACTAGAAACTCCCCGAAATTCATCCTCATCTAAATTATTCTGCGATCCCATGTAACTCAGGATCTAGTTTTATGCCAGTCAGTTACCTACTATACAACTGGTTTGATATTTCCTAAGAAATTAATTAAATCCAAGCTTCCTCCAAGTATTATGTGTAGAGATACTGGGATCTCTCTGGAGTCATTCATAGTTTTTTCCTGTCAAAGCAAAGCAGTAAATGAGCTAATTCCCTTTCTGTATAGTATAGAGACCCCAGCTTTTCATATACATTTTTTTACTGCCTTGGAAAAGTTGAACTTTCAGTTTAAACAGAGGTTTCCATAACAACTAAAATATTTGGCACCTTGTCTCACAGAGCTTTGCTTACCATGAAAATTAAAACAATAATAAAGCATTGGCTCTAATCATTTCCTAGTTACTGAATTTTGATTGATGCTGAAAATATCTCTGAATGGGTGGTCTCCGTGTGTGTGCACATTTGGGATGTAGCCATTCAGTCATGTTCTCTCAGCACTGGTGCTTATCTAGATATGTGTGAATATGGTTAATTTGAAGCAGCGAGCCTGGGAGAAGCAGGGTGAGAAGGAGTTTGGTGTTTCAGGGCTGCACTTAGTACCTTGGGGAAAAAGAAAGACTGGATGATGCCCAGTAACATTGTTAAGAAAAATGTTAACCCACCAGATTTTCCTTGTTTCTGACATAGCAACCAGAGAGAAACACAAACAAATAGATTGGAGTAGGAGTACACCAAGTGACTTGCCTTTTGTCAGCTGTGTTGACTACAGCCTTGTTTAGCTTGAACACAGAAATCCTTTGTAATCGATCCGAGCTGATGCAAGCAGAAAATGGAAATCATCCTCTTCCCACTTTTGTCTGAACTGTTCATTCATTTGAGGGAGTAAAAAGAAACATGCATTTCCCCTTTAATCCTCATTTTTGAGCCTTATTCAAGCTCGAGTGTTGGTTTTGGCTTCCATTTTCCATGTTTGTCTGTAGTTAAGCCTTTGGCTGTGTTCAGGTTAAAGGATTCTTACGTGCTTGTAGCATCCTTCTCGAAACAGGCACAAAGGAAAAGCCCTAATTTCGCACACTTGAGTGGTTCAGATGTCACAAAAAATGCAAAACTGTAGGACACACACAGCCTTTGCCTCTATTACGATATCCAAAGCAGCAGGTGCAAGTAACAGTTTTTTCTGTTTTTCTATGCAGTTGCAAGAAATGTAAACTAAAGCAAAAGCGATGCTTGAGTGCATAATTGCCTTCATACCAGGGAGCTGGCTTTTGTAGTGAGGCCCGCTGGGATGAGATTTTTTTCACATTCCTAAAGCTTTGAACTTGCTTTGGACACTGATTCAGGTTGGTGAAGTTTGATTTTAAATAATAAACATGGATTTTACTCAACTTCCCTCACATTTTCAATATTGTTTCTTCCAATGTTTGGTTAAGATGAACCTAGTCTTCACTCTCAGCCTCAACACTTGCAACAGACCCACTTTCCGTGGGACAAGAAACATTTTTCCTGTTCAGTCCTGCCTGCCTTCCAGCCAGGCGACATTTCAGGGCACTTGCTGTCACTGAAGTGGATGGTAAGAGCAGCTGCAGTGGTCTGAATTCATCCTGAAGCTGTAACCGTGAAACTTGGGGTGGACACAGCTGGTGTTCAGCCTCCAGAGGAGGTCAGAGCCTGACCAGGATTTGTAAGGTGGCAGTGAACTTGAGTGGTCTGTTGGTTTAGCAGTCTGTTGTCAGCAAGAGTAAAAGCTGAATCCTAAAAACCCGGTTGCAAGGGGGTGGTTTTGTCCTGCTGCTGTCACAGTCCTGTTTGTGTGCTGTGGACATTGAATCCTGATTGTTTTCAGTTCCTGAGCCAGCGAGGAGCACAGCGGCGGCAACGGTAAGAGCTCTGTTGACAGCAGCACTCCATAGCAGCAACTACCCAACTTGTGGCTGTGTCCCAGGCTGCCTCTGGCTGTGGTGTCCTCCAGGCAGAGAGCTTGTAGCAAGAAGACCGTGGTGACCCAGACAGAGGGTCTGTCTCTGGTCAGGTCTGTAGCTGCAGGGAGTGCCAGAGCTGCTGCTGCCAGGGGAGGGAGGGAGAGGAGGCATCCCACCTGCCTGAGGTGTGAGCA